TTTTATGTGCTGCTGGATTCGATTTGCAAGGATCTTGTTGAGGATTTTTGCATCCGTATTCATCAAGGATATTGGCCTGTAGTTCTCTTTTTTTGTTGGATCTCTGTCTGGCTTGGGAATCAGCGTGATGTTGGCTTCATAAAATGAGTCCAGGATTTTCCTTCGATTTCTTTTTTTTGGAATAGCTTGAGAAGAATTGGGATTAATTCTGTTTTAAATGTCTGGTAGAATTCCCCAGGGAAGCCATCAGGTCCAGGGCTCTTATTTGTTGGGAGATTTTTGATAACTCGTTATGGGTTTGTTCAGATTTCCTATCTCTTCTCATGTGAATTTTGGTAGTGAGTGTGTGTTTAGGAATTTGTCCATTTCTTCTAAGTTGTCCAATGTGTTGGCATATAATTTTTCATAGTATTCCCTGATAATTGCTTGTATTTCTGAGGGGTTGGTTGTGATAAGTCCATTTTCATTCATGATTTTGTCTATTTGGGTGCTCTCTCTTTTCTTTTTGAGAAGCCTGACTAGCGGTTTGTCAAGTTTGTTTATTTTTTCAAAAAACCAACTCTTGGTTTCATTGATCTGTTCACTTGTTTCTTTGGTCTCTATGTTGTTTGTTTCTGACCTAATTTTTACTATTTCTCTTCTTCTACTGGGTTTAGGGCGTTCTTGTTGCCCTGCGTCTAGTTACTTTAGGTGAGCTGTTAGATTTTGGACTTAAGCTTTTTCTAATCTCTTGACATAGGCCTGGAGTGCAATGTACTTTCCTCTTAGGACTGCCTTTGGTGCATCCCATAGATTTTGGATTGTTGTGTTTTCATTTTCATATGTTTCAATATATTTTTTAATTTCATCCCTAAATGCCTGATTGGCCCATTCATTCTTTACTAGGGTGTTCTTTAAACTCCATGTTTTTGGAGGTTTTCCAGATTTCTTCCTGTAATTGATTTCAAGTTTCAAAGCATTATGATCTGACAGTGTGCATGGTATGATCTCAATTCTTTTTTTTTTTTAATATTTTTATTTATTTCTAGGAGTGAGAGAGAGAGACAGCGCGAGCAGGGGAGGGTCAGAGAGAGAAGGAGACACAGACTCCGAAACAGGCCCCGGGCTCTGACATGGCAGTAAGCACAGAGCCTGACGTGGGGCTCAAACCCACGAACCGCGAGATCATGACCTAAGCGAATGTTGGATGCTTAACCCACTAAGCCACCCAAGCGCCCCATCTCAATTCTTTTATATTTATTGAGGGCTGCTTTATGTCCCAGTATGTGATCTATCTTGGAGAATGTGGCATGCGCACTTGAGAAGAAAGTAAATTCCCTGGCCTCAGGATGTAAAGTTCTAAATATATCCGTCAGATTCATCTGGTCCAATGTGTCTTTCAAGTCTATTATTTCTTTAGTAATTTTCTGTCTGGTTGAAGTACCCATTGCTGTAAGCGGAATATTAAAGTCCCCTGCTATTAGCACATTCTTATCTATAAGCTTGTTTCTGTTTGTGATTAATTATTTTAGATATTTAGGTACTCCCATATTCGGTGCATAGACATTTATGATAGTTAGTTCTTCCTGATGGATGGACCCTGTAATTATTATGTAGTGCTTTTCTTCATCTCTTGTTATTGTCTTTAATTTAAAGTCCAGTTTGTCTGATATAAGTATAGCTACTCCGGCTTTCTTTTGATTTCCAGTAGTATGATATATATTTCTCCATCCCTTACTTTTAATCGGAAGGTGTCTTCCAGTCTAAAATAAGTTTCTTGTAGACAGCATATAGATGGATTTTGGTTTTTTATCCATTCCGCTACCCGATGTCTTTTGATTGGAGCATTCAGCCTATTCACATTCAGTGTTATTGTTGAAATATGTGGGTTTAGACTCTTTGTGTCCTTTGTGGGGTTCATGTTTGTGGTGGTGTCTCTGGCATCTTTGTTCCTTGCAACATTTCCTTCAGAGCGTCCCCCTCAGGATTTCTTGTAGGGCTGGCTTAGTGGTGACAAATTCTTTCAATTTATTTTTATTTGGAAAGACTTTTATCTCACCTTCTATTTTGAATGACAGGTTTGCTGGGTAGAGGATTCCTGGCTGCATATATTTTCTGTTCATCACATTGCAGATCTCCTGCCATTCCTTTCTGGCCTGCCACGTTTCAGTAGATAGGTCTGTCTCCACTCTGATAGGTTTCCCTTTGTATGTTAGGGCCCTTTTCTCCTTAGCTGCTTTCAGAATTCTCTCTTTGTCCTTATATTTTGCCATTTTTACTATGATTTGTTGTGCAGAAGATCGATTCTAGTTATGTCTGAGGAGAGTTCTCTGTGCCTCTTGTATTTCAATGTCTACTTCCTTTCCCAGGTTAGGGAAATTCTCTGCTATAATTTGTTCCAGGCTACTTCAGCACCTTTCCCCCTTTCTTCCTCTTATGGTATTCCTATGATACGGATATTGTTGCGTTTGACCGTATCGCTGAGCTGTCGAACTCTTCTTTCATGTTCCTGGTTATGTTTGTCGCTTTTTCTGTCAGTTTCCTCTTTTTCTATAAAAGTGTCTTCTAAATCACTTATTCTCCTTTCTGCCTCTTCAATCCGTGCATTGGAAACTTCTAATTTATTATGTATTTCATTTATCACATTTTTAAATTCATCATGCCTATTTTTATGCTCCATGTTGTTTTTAGCCATAGTTTCTTTGATGTCCCCTATGCATTTTTCAAGCCCAGGTATTAATTTTATGATTATTGTTCTAACATCTTGTTCAGTTATGCTGCTTCTATCTGTTTTGAGCAGTTCATTAGCTGTCAATTCTTCTTGGAATTTCTTTGAAGGAGAGCTCTTTCATTTCGTCATTTTAGTTAGCTTTCTGTCTCTTGTTAGTTTTAAAGACTTGTTATGCTCTCTGCACCTGTGAGCGCTGCTGTACCCAAGAAGACTCTTTGACTGTCCAGGGCCTTTCCTTTCAGAGTGTGTTTTTTGAATGGTATCTCTTGGTCTCTCTTGTTGAGACCTTGGTAATTTTATTTTCCTACTCGTAGTGATATTTGGGACTCTCCACCACGTTTACTTTGGCTTGTTTCTTGAGGTAGCCCTGGAGAAGAAAACATACAGGCAAACACACAGGGAGAATAGGCAAACAATCACACAGACAAATCCAACAAACATGCAAACCGAGAAAAAAATGAAAAAGTTAAGAGAAAAGACGGAGGAGGGGAGTCGAATAATAGAAAACTAAAAAATACATTAAAAGGTCAAAAAGAAGAAAAGAAAAGGAAAAAAGAAGAAAACCAATGGCAAAGAACGGGTTAAAGCATATAACCCAATTTCCCAGCTACAATTAAATCCCTTGTGTATGCAGTGCTGTTGAAGACCATAGAGAAAGAGAGAGAAGACAGGGCGGGGATGTGGCAAAATTGGAAATAGAATGAACAGGCAGAATTGATAAGAAGTTTTTTTCAAAGTGTTTTAGGGTTGAATATTGTTGGATAGGTGAGAGAAGGACGCTGGTGTTATCCAGAGAAACTATATAGTCTAATTACTCCTGAGAGAAAGAGATGATAAGGTAGGTAGGTGTAGAATTTACATCTACAGAATGGACTAAATGTGACTGTTTAAGCAAGCCGGTGACCAGAGTTAATCAGGTCAGTGTTCCGGGGGAGGAAAAAAAAAAGGAGGATCTCTCTAGCAGTGGTGGACATGGTGTGATCCAATGAGTCAGGCAGGAGTTCTGCCTTGGCGGTTGTGGGGAGGACAGTGGCGGCACTCTAGTCCCTTCTTGAACCAAGTGCTGCACCTAGTTTTTTCTTGGGTGTGTAAACTCCCTGTGTCAGGGGGTGCAGCCAACGTGGGTTGCACTCTTTAACCCAGGCCAGGCCTAGTTTCCAAATCCCAGTCCGTGCGCCCCACTGAAATTGCCTTAGACACAACCTCGCAGGCGATCTCTTCAGGGCAGTTCCAAGCCTCTTGCCTAGTCCTGGGGATGGAACCAGAATCGCTGCTCTCTTCTCCTCCAGGTCGGGTTGGCGAGCAAGGATGGGGGTTTGCCTGGGGGCACACCGGCCCGCTGGAGAGTGGGAAACAGGATCCCTCTGTGTCTCATCACCCAAAACACGAACTCGTGGGTAAATCTCCCAGATTTAAGCCCTCGCCTTCCCTCTAAGGGTCCAGCCAAGCCAAGAGCATGGAGGCCTGGTACGTGTGCAGCTCCTCTAGGGGTCCAGCTAGCCAGGAGCACAATGGTGCCATCAGTGTGCGACCTTTCTAGGGGTCCAGGCAGCCAGGAGCTCAAAGGAGCGGTCGGCGTGTGCCGCTCCTGGACGAGTTGGCCGCAGGGAACTGACGCACGGGGATTTTGCGCTCAGGGTCCTTCTTTGCCCCAAACGGAGGTTTTTCTGTTCCCCAGTGACAGGGACTGTCTCTTCATTATTTTCGGACTCTCTCTTTTGGACTCTCTCTCACTCCCTTCTCTCACTCTCTGCAGAGGGGGATTGCCCCGGTCCCTCTGAGTCTTCAATCCCGGCCCATTTTTATCTTCCCCAGTTTGCACTCAACGTCAGAAGGCTTTCTCAGTGGATTCTGCGTCCTTTTTTCTCCCAATCTCTTGGGTTCTGTAAAGTTCGCTATGGCTTCAGATCTTTTCCGTGTGATATATGGGGGCGAGTGCAATGCATGGAGCTCCCTACTTCTCTGCCATCTTGCCCCTAGGGTTAAAAGTTCTAAATATATGTGGTTTACCTATACAATGGAATACTACATGGCAATGAGAAAGAATGAAATCTGATCACATGTAGTAACATGGATGGAACTTGAGGGTGTTATGCTGAGCAAAAGAAGTCAGGTAGAGAAGGACAGCTACCATATGTTTGCATGTATAGGAGGATTAGGAGAAACTTAACGTGAGGACCATGGGGGAGAAGAAGGGGGAAAATAGTGGGGGAGACAGAGGGAGGCAAACCATAAGAGACTCTTGAATGATGAGAACAAACTGAAGGCTAATGGGGGTGGGAGAAAGGGAAAGGGGGGTGATGGGCATGGAGGAGGGCACTTGTAGTGATGAGCACTGGGTGTTATATGGAAACCAACTTGACAATAAACTACTTTTTAAAAATAGTTCTGAGTATATTTGTTAAGTCCATTTTGTCCAAAGTGTCATTCATAGCTGTGGTTTCATTATTTGCCTAGATGACCTGTCCATTGTCGTGAGTTGAGTATTAAACTCTCTTATAATTAGAGTATTAATATCTATACATTTGTTTATGTTTGTGATTAATAGATTTTATATTTGGGTTTTTCCAAGTTGGAGACATAAACATTTATACTTTTTAGCTCTTCTGCATGGATAAACACCTTAGTTATGATATAATGCCCTTTCATCTTTTGTTACAGCCTTTAGTTTAAAATCTAGTTTGTCTCATATAAGTATGGCTATTCCAGCTTTCTTTTGAGTTCCAGTAGCATTATAGATGGTTCTCCATTCCCTCACTTTAAATCTTCAGGTGACTTCAAGTCTAAAATGAGTCTCTTATAGGCAGTATATAGATGATCTTGATTTTTTTTGTTGTTGTTTTTATCCATTCTGATATCCTGTGTCTTTTGATTGGGACATGTAGTTCATTTATATTCAGAGTGATTATTGAAAGATATGGATTTAGTGTCATTGTGTTATCTGTAGGCTTCATGTTCATTGTGATGTCTCTGGTCCTCTGTAGTCTTTCCTGCTTTCCACTCACAGAGTCGCTGTTAGGATCTCCTGGAGGGCTGGTTTAGTGGTCATGCACTTCTTTAGTCTTTGTTTGTCTGGGAAAGCCTTTATCTCTCCTTCTATTCCTAATGTCAGCCTTGCTGGATATTTTTTCTATTCAGCACTTGAATATTTTCTGCCACTCCCTTCTGGCCTGCCAAGTTTTAGTGGACAGCTCTTTTACTACCCTTATGTGTCTACCGTTGTAGGTTAACGCCCGTTTGTCACTAGCTGCTTTCAGAATTCTCTCTTTATCTTTGTATCTTGCCAGTTTTCACTATGAGATGTTGTGGTGTTGACCTATTTTTGTTGACTTTGAAGGGAGCTCTCTGTGCCTCCTGGACTTGGGTGTTTCTTTCCTCCCCCAGATGAGGGACGTTCTCAACTATAATTTGTTTACATAAACCTTCTGCCCCTTTATTCCTCTCTTCTTCCTTTAGGACTCCTATGATATGGATATTATTTTGTTTCATGGAATCATTTAGCTCCCTAATTCTCCCCTCTTGATCTAGTAATTTCCTTTCATTCTTTTTTTCAACTTCATCATTTTTCATAATTTTATCTTCTATTTCACCTGTTGTCTCAGCTTCTCCATCCTTGCTGTCACTATATTTACTTAATTTTGTATTTCATTTACAGAATTTCTTAATTCATCATGACTATTTCTTAGGTCTTTGAAATCTGCAGCAATAGATACTTTACTGTAAGCCAGATTATGACTCTTTTGACAGTTATTATAAACTCTTGTTCAGATATATGGTTTATGTCTATTTTGAACAATTCTTTGGCCGTCATTTCTTCTTTGATTTTCTTTTGAGAATTCCGTTTTGTCATTTTGGCTAAGTTTCTGTCTTTTTCATGCTTTAACAGGTTGTTATGTGTCCTCCGCCTGTGATAATTACTATGTTAAAAAGGGATCATGCACTGTCCAGGGCTTGGCACTTCAGGAAGTGATTTTGGAGTGTGTTGAGTGCACACTGCTGTTGCATTTGCCTGCTCTATCCCAGTGATCCATTCTCTACAAAGTTCCTCCTTGCTTGTAGTAGTGGAGGGTGTGGACCTTCCACCAGGTGTGCTTTGATTTATTTGTTGAAGTAATCCTCAAATCTGCCAAGCTCTCTCCCTCCACCTGTAGAGATCCTTCTGAGTCTACAGATCAATTTTCTGAGTGTTCCAAATGATCTAACCCCAATACAGCTGTGTTTGAGGGATGAGAGAAATCCCGGTCCCCCCTACTTCTCCATCATCTTACCTCTTCCCTGGATTCCACTTTTCAGTGTCTTGAGAGTTTTTCCCACAACACAGAGCAATGCTGCAACACCAGCTGGGAGTCCTAATTCAACTCAATTCTGACCCTATCAAGCAAGAAATGGCACCAGTTTCCACAGGCTTAAGGCTCAGTCCTGCAAGAGTTCTCACACTCCCTCCCCACTTTAGATGCCAATTGCAAGTCCAGCTTGTCACCCATGATTCTGACTGACAGCTTATAAATCAGAGGTTCCCATAACCCCTTTCCTAGGGTTTGATTAATTGCTAAAGTGGCTCACAGAACTCAAGAAACCTGTATAGTTACCAGATTACTGGTTTATTACAAAGGATATAAATCAATAGCCAGAGGAAGAGATACATCGGGTGAGGTCCTCAATGAAGGAGCCCCTGTTTTTGTGGAGCTTGAGGCCTGGCTCATTGGCACCCAGAAGTGTTCTAGTATAAAGCTGGAAGCTCTCTGAACCTCATCCTTTTGGGATTTTATGAGGGCTTCATAACACGGGAATGATTGATTAACCTGTTGGCCATTGGTGATTGACTTCACCTCCAGCCCTTCTCCCTTCCCTGTAGTTCAGGGGTGGGACTGAATGTTCCAACCCTTTGATCCCATGGTTGGGTCCCCTGGCCTCAGCCCCCATCCTTGGGGAGTTTCCAAAGTCACCACATCAACACAGACTCTGGCATGGTCCACAGGTGCCAGAAACAGTGGTGGAAGAACACATACAAATAAGAATGGTATTTTGGTTGTCCAGGTGACCTAATATATATATTTTTATAGACATAAGAATATCCTGTATTTCTTATAGACACTGTGACATTCACGCTTTCAGGACAAAATTACTAATTTTCTCTATGACTGGAGGTGGATTTTTGAGTCAGATCACAGCTGGAGTGAGGCCCGTCTGCTCCTTGGAGGTGGGGATATGGGGTATGCCACGCCAAAATATGGAACCGTGGCATAATTATTTTGAGCTGACAGCATTTGAGGTCCTGAAATCCCACATCTGCCTAAGGCAGGGTGGCCTGAAAAAAAAAAAAACCTCAGGGGTCACAAACGTGCCACCAGAACACCCCTAATCCCTTCTTGGAGAAAAGAAGCCATCCCCACTTCCAGACAAACTTTGTCCCAAACAGTCACTTCTCTGGTCTATCTCCTGAGAGTCCATTCATCTTTCCAAAAAGCCATTTGCTTTTCTATAAGCTTCCTACCTACTCCCACTTTCCTCTCCTAAGTGAGTTTTTAGACCCAAATTCCAAGTGGTCCTGCAGGTCCCCCATGTGTATGCATGATGCACATGCTAACCAGCTTCTGTCTTTTTTTCTCCTGTTGTTCTGTCTCTGTCTCTTTACAAAGAAAACAGTTTTCCTCCTCTACAGGTGTGACCTTCCCTGCAGCCCGCATTTCTGGGTTGGTCCTTGAAGCAAACATTTCCAGGCTCTGGGCCTGGCCTTTGACCTTATGATGCAAATCTGTGTCAAGCCTAAAAGCGCTCTTTCCATAAGTAGGAAAATAAAAGTGGCCCAATAAACTGAAACTTTGCTTCCTGTTGACAGTGTGTCTTCTCAGGAAGCAATGTGGGACAAGGAGGCAGGGTACATGTCTTGGCTCTAACTGCATGTGTGCACAGAGCTCACATCCAGTCCTTATACACGCAGGGACTCCTCTGTCCCATCAGGAGGTAGAAACGACCTTCCAGGAGGAGCCCACTGGGCTGGTGAATTGGACATGACTTTCTGGGAAGAGCCCACTGGGCTGGGCATGGGCTGGCTGCATGGAGCATTGGACCTTACTCCCTCTGATATATGCTGTCTCTTGGACCAGACTCTGGTCAAACTCCTCTGAACCTTCCTCTAAACTTGGCCTTGACTTCTTTTTTATTTTATTATTAATTATTACTTCTATTTATATTTTTATAGAAATATACACATTTTATAGCATTTATTTACTTATATTTATATAGATACAAAAATTTTATATATAATCTATTTTATTCATATTTATAAATATAAGTATTTTAATAAATTTTTTTTATTTTATAAATTTACAGAAATATGCAAATCTTTTTTTTTTCCATTCCCTGTGGGCACTTTATTTATTTATTTATTTTTAAAGTTGTTAAGCACTTTTCTTTTTACAAATAGTTTATTGTCAAATTAGTTTCCACATAACACTCAGTGCTCATCCCTACAAGTGTCCTCCTCCATACCCAGCTCCCCCTCCCCCCCACATCCATCAGTCCTCAGTTTTTGTCAGCATTCAAGAGTCTCTCATGGTTTGCCTCTCTCCCTTTCCCCCACCATTTCCCCCTTTCTTCTCCCCCTTGTTCCTCCATCAAGTTCCTCCTAATCCTCCTATATGTGCAAACATATGATATTTGTCCTTCTCTGCCTGACTTATTTCGCTCAGCATAACACCCTCAAGGTCCATCCATGTTGCTACACATGGCCAGATTTCATTGTTTCTCATTGCCATGTAGTATTCCATTGTATAGATAAACCACATCTTCTTGATCCATTTTTCTTTTGATGGACACTTAGGCTCTTTCCATGTTTTAGCTATTGTGGAGAGTGCTGCTATGAACATTGGGGTACATGTGCTCCTATGTATCAGCATTTCTGTATCCCTTGGGTAAATTCCTAGCAGTAGAAATATGCAAATCTTATAGTATTTCTTATTTACCTGTACTTATGTAGATATAAAATTTTTATAAACACTTCATGAATATTCCATATTTATAATTATAAATCTAAACATTTTAATAGATTTTTACATAAATATTTATATTTATTTAGTTATAGAAATTTACACATTTTATATCATTTCTTATTTTCTTATATTTATGCAGATATAAGCATTTTATAAAATTGATAAACATTCCTTATGTTTTTTAGTTTTCTTTTAAGTAGGCTCTATGCCCAGCACAGAGCCCAGCACAGGGCTCGAACTCACAACCCTGAGGTCAAGAGTTGGACGCTGACAGACTGAGCCACCCAGGTGACCCTAAAATTCATTATACATTTTTAAAGATTGGTGGACATGATTACGGAAGCTATAAATCCCAAGGTCTGCTCAGTGTCTGCTGGCTGAACCCAGGAGAGCAGATGGATGTGTCTGTTCATATCCAAGGGAAAGAGGAAAGCTGATCGTCTCTTCAGAACTCCCTCACTTGGGTGGTCAGCTCTTCACCTGATTGGACCAGGCTCACCCACATTAGGGGGAACCATCTGCTTTCCTCAGTCTGTAGATTGGATGTGAATATCATGCAGAACCACCTCAGGGACACACCCAGAATTGTGCTTACTCCAGGGACCCACTAGTGGACACAGGAGAAATCACCACAATGAATCTATTTGGAAAGGGAAGAGCTTCAAAAAACCTTCTCAGACAAGCAGAACGCTGGGTCCCCACTTTGTGTGTCCTGTGCTCAAGGAGGGGCAGACAGAAGCCCAGTCCCTGCTGTGGACAGGCTCCATTCTACCTGCATAATTCAGGTTCAAAGACATTGGTATCAGTCCTCTGGATGCCCAGAGAAACTACCACAAACCAGTGGTTTACAATGACAGAGATGCATTGTCTCATGGCTGAGGAGGCCAGGAGACTGAGGTCAAGATGTCACAGGGCCACACTCCCTCTGATTGCTCCAAGAGGGTCCCTTCTGCCTTTCTCAGCTTCCAGGGCCCCAGGCATTCTGGGTTCACGGCCCCATCTCCCCAATCTCTCTGCCTCTGTCACCATGTAGCCATCTCAAGCTCCCCCTCTCTTGTCTCATAAAGAGCCGCCCTGATCCAAGATGCTCTCACCTCGAGATTCCCCACCTCGATCACCTCTGCAAAGACCCAATTTCCACATGAGGCCACCATCAGAGGTCCCAGGTGGGTGAATCTGGGAGCCACAATGGAACTCACTGTGGTATCTCAGCAGCTGTAAGTGTTTGCCTGGACATCTGTTCTGCAGACATCTGCTCCAAGTTTCCCCACATTTTCTCACTTCCTTCTTTTTCAACACAAGTGCATCCCTCACCATGACATGTGCTTCTCTACAGTGTGATGTTAGGTTTAGGCCCTCTTTGATTCCACACCCACACTTGTGTCTAGTCTACTCTCCCTGCCCACATGCCCTGACTCTACCCTGACCCACCTCAGGGAGCCCTGGAATCTTTGGCTGGACCTCCATGTAGTTCTGTCTGCACTGACCTGCCATGGAGAGGAGGGAAGACGGAGGTATTCAAAGTAGACAAGATGTCCAGGTCTTTGTGAGGGTCAGAGGGTGGGGGAGAAGTGGGAGTGGGTAGGTGGGGGAGGTAGGGCAGGTGAGGAGAAGGTGGTAGAGGAGGGGAAGAGAAAGCCTAGCATTTACAGAGCAACTACTTCATGTCTGGCACTGGGCTCAACAATTAACATATGCCCCAAGTACATTTCAGAAAATCACCCCCAGTGTGTAATAATATGGTATGTCAGTCAGCACGGTCTGTGTAACAAATATCACAGACTGGGAGGTTAATACAACATATATTGTGTCCTGGTCCTGGGGACTGGAAATCTGAGATCCAGGCGTGGGCAGGGCTGGTTCCTCCTGAAGCCTCTCTCCCTGGCTTCATGTGGTTGTCCCAAGTGTGTCTGTGCCTGATCCCCTCTTCTGATAAGGACTCCAGTCATATGGGATCAGGGCCCAGCCTAGTGACCTCCTTTTACCTGAACCACCTCTGTAAAGACTCCATCTCCAAATGCAGCCCTGTTCTGAGGCCCTGGGGATTGGGGCTTCAACATGTGAACTGGAGGGGAAGGAAAATGAAGATAAAACAGGATCATTCAGAAAGGTGCACCCCCCCTTTTTTTAAAATGTTTTATTTATTTCTAGGGGAGAGAGAGAGAGGCAGCGTGAGCAGGGGAGGGTCAGAGAGAGAGGGAGACACAGACTGAACAGGCTCCAGGCTCTGAGCTGGCAGTCAGCACAGAGCCCGACGCGGGGCTCGAACCCACGAACCGCGAGATCATGACCTAAGCGAAAGTCGGACGCTTAACCGACTAAGCCACCCAGGCGCCCCGAGAAAGGTGCACCCTTGTATGTGGTCTAGCTGGGATCTAGAATCGATGAATGGATACGTGTCCCCCAAATCTGTGACCCACTGGAACAGAGAGATCATGGGTCTTGCTGGTCTCCCTGTTCTGTCCCCCACCCTGAGGCGACCCCAAGGACTCTGTGGGCTGGCTTTCTGAGCAGATGGTCAGGGGACTGGGGTCGTGTGTCCAGAGGCAGAAGAATGGCCTTAAGGGTGCTGAGAAGGAGAGTCCAGAGAACGCGTAGATGAGGGATCCATTGTCTACGCTGTAGAAGGAGATACTGCCTGCATCACAGTCCAGGAAAATGCCCACCCGCTGCAGGGGCTCCGAAGGGTGCAGGCGAACCCTCGGGAAGGCAAGCGCCCAGAATGCCTTCCTATATAGCTCCAGGGCCCAGAGCCCATGCTGGGGTGCCTTGGGGATCCTTCCCTTCCGATCCAAGCTCTCCAGACACACGCCCAAGTTCCAGGCCTTCCTGCGTCCCACCTGGATCTCCCAGTAATACCTCCCAGCCGAGAACTGCTCCCGGCCCAGCACACAGGGGTCCAGGTTGAATCTGCCGGGGGTGTCGAGCTGCTCCTGTTCAAAGAGCAGTCGCCTCACAGTCTTCCTGTCCTCAGAAAGAACAAGCTTGGGGCTTGCAGTGTCTGGGTCCAGGGATGGGCTCACTGCGGGGAAGAGGAGAGGATTGGGTTTGGGGGTGGGGGTCCCTTACCTGCACTCCTGCATGAAGGTGGACCCACAGCCTTCCTGGGAGTCCCTGTGTGTTCCCGTTCTCTGTTGAGGATCCTGTGCAAACTGACCATCCCAGAGCAGCTGAGGGAGCTCCAGGGGGAATCAAGGAGAGTCAGGGGGAATTCCTATGAAGGGGCAGGCTGGCACATGGGGTGGTGCATGCCTCCCAGGGCTCTGAGTGTCACAGTGTGTGTGTGTGTGTGTGTGTGTGTGTGTGTGTGCGCGCGCGCGCGCGTGCATGCGCATATGTGTGTGTAGCATATGTGTTGTGTGTGTGCGAGAGAGAGAGAGACGGGGAGAGACAGAGATAGACATAGGGAGAGAGATAGAGAAACAGACACAGAGAGAAGCAAGGAGAGAGAGACAAAGAGAGCAAGGAGAGATAGATAGATACAGGGAGACACAGGCAGAGAGACAAAGACAAAGAAGGGCACAGAAAGACAGACTCAGAGGTCTGCATGCCTCTCAGGGCTCTGTGTGTCAGGATGGGTGTGCATGTGCTGTGTACATATGTGCCAGTGTGTGTGTTGTGTGTGTGCATGTGCGTATGAGGGAGAGACAGAGAGACATAGATAGATACAGGGAGAGAGATAGACAGAGAGAAGCAAGGAGAGAAACAGAGACAGAGACAGAGAGCAAGGAGAGCAAAGAGAGATGGACACAGGGAGACACAGGCAGAGAGATAGAGGGAGACAGAGGCAGAGGAATGTAGACACACAGAAAGACACAGGGAGAAAGAGAGACAGAGATAGAGAGACATAGGAGGATACATGAAGACTTGGGGACATGGGATGAGGTCTCAGGTGCACTGATGACATGGGACAACTCTGGGGTCGACCACTGAAGGGTCCCATCTGGAAAACCCCAAGAGGCAGCTTAGCAGCTCCACAAACTGAGATGAACACCTTCCAAAACAGAGCCCTTCTCTCCTGCCCCGACATCCCTCTCTGGGCCCTCAGGCCCCAGGGGATCCCCCAGGGGAGGGTCTGTCTACACTTGGATTCCATACAAGAGGCGGAGAGGCTGTGTGTGGATCATCCCGGTGCCCAGCTGCCAGAGCAGGCACCTTCACAACAACAGAAACCTCATGGCCGGTGTCCACCCTCGCCATTCAGCAGCCGTGCTGCTCTTGGCTTGGGTCTGCACACGATTCCCCAACACTCGTGTTTCACGACCTTCTATCACTGTCAGCTGGACAACACACACGCTCTCCTCCTATCTGAGCCCCAGCTTTCTCCCTGGCCTCCACCTCCTTCTGGATGGAACCCTGCTCCCTTTCACTTTCCAGCAAAGATTACGTGTTCCCCCTGATTTCTCATTGCTGCTTCCTGAATTCTGCACCCTGTGCCCCATGCAAACCCTTTCCCTGTAGAGTCGGGGCCATGCAGATGGAGCCCACCCACGTTCCATCTCTATGATGGCCAAGCACGGACTCACTAGCTGAACAATGAGCCTGGCTCCTTCTACTCCAAATTCCCTCATCGTTAGAAAATATTCACCTTAAGACACAGTTGGAGACATAGGGGAGCCTGGGTGGCTCAGTCGGTTAAGTGTCTCACTTGGGCACAGGTTGATTCATGGTTCGTTGGTTCAAGCCCTGTATCAGGCATTGTGATGACAGCTCGGAGCCTGGAGCCTGCTTTGGATTCTGTGTCCCCCTCTCTCTCTGCCCCTCCTCAGATCATTCTCTGTTGCTCTCAAAAATAAATAAATGTTGGGGCGCCTGAGTGGCTTGGTCGGTTAAGGGTCTGACTTTGGCTTAGGTCATGATCTTATGGTTTGTGGGTTTGAGCCCCGCGTTGGGCTCTGTGCTGACAGCTAGCTCAGAGCCTGGAGCCTGTTTCGGATTCTGTGTCTTCCTCTCTCTCTGACCCTCCCCTGCTCACGCTGTCTCTCTCTCTCTCTCTCTCTCTCTCTCTCTCTCTCTCAGAAATAAATTTTAAAAAAATATTAGGAGGGCACTTGTGGGGATGAGCACTGGGTGTTATATGGAAACCAACTTGGCAATAAACTATTTAAAATTTAAAAAAAGAAAAAAACGTTAAAAAATTAAAATAAATACATAAATGTTAAAAAAATTTTACAAACCCACACAGTTGAAGACTTAAAGTGGTTGCAAGATACCATGAACAATATTCCCATGGTAACATCTCATATAACCCACAGTAATAGGCTAAACACTAAAATTGACATTGACACAAAACTGTTCAATAATGACTTCTTGCGCACCACAACACACCTGTCCTTGGAGCTCAGCCTGTGCCCTTGTGCACTGACTACTCTTGCACACACCCACATCTGGTTGTGGATCTTCTCCTGTGCTGTCCAATCATGTGTGGGCTGGACCCTTGCACACCACACCCAGCTGGCCGCCACTGTATACCTGTGCTCCACTCTATCCACCGCTGCAGATTATCTCCCTGCAAAGCCGTTCTCTCACTGGTTTCTTTCCTCCCTTCAGGCTCCAGGCTTCTTCACAACACATTGTCCCTTTTAGACAACAGACAGGCTCTCCTACCATGGACCTCACAGTGAACCACAGCAAACACAAACAGAACCTTCCCATTCCCCGCTCACCAAGTCTTACCTCAACCACACAGCCAATAATTTTGAGCCCTCCCTCCCACTTCTCTCCATAGGGGATGCCTCTCTGTGGACCACACTTGCCAGTTTTTCTGAGTCATTTTCCCAGTGTCACCTGACTCCACTTCTCAGCTGCATGGAAGGGGACTGGCCACTCCCTCAACACACTGCCCCTGCGTATTTCCATGGTGACATGTCCCCTGGCCTCCCACAGCCCTGCTCTAACAGACCTTCAAATATCAGAGTTCTCCAATGCTAGATCTTGGATCTTTCTTCTTTACCCTGTATCATTCATTATTAAAATTCTTATTTCTTTCTCAAAGACAAATTTTTAAAGAACAGTTTTAGGTATAGTGAAAATGGAGCACTTACTGGTTCAGTTTTCTGGTTTTACATTCCAGATAAATCCCATGGACCCCAATTCCTATCTGCAGTCCCAATTTCTCCTGGGAGCTCCAGACTCACATAGCCAACGACTTAGCTGACATCCACCCTGGATGTCAGAGAACTTCTCAATCTTATGAGGTCTAAGGTGATTTTCACTGCTTTGTCCCGAGTCTGTCTTGTTTTGCCCCCAAGCCTTCTGTTAGATGGAGCCACAAGGGCCAGAGACTCATGTGGCCAAGGGGAACCTTGGGCTGCCCCCTCTGCCTTGCCCCTTCTGGACTCTGCTATTGTGGCCCCAGGACCCATCTCAGGGCTGTATCCTCTCCTCCATCAATGGCTCTCCCCTGCTTACATGCCCTCACTCATTTTGCATGGTGCTTCATGTGAAATCTAGGCCTCCACCTCAGCCTCCCAGGCTCTGCAGGCCCGGGCACACGTGAGCTTTCTCATTCTGTTGGTCCCTCTTCTGCACACCCAGTGACCCCACTCTCTCTTCCAGAGGGGAGGGTCCACCCCTCCTCACATGGCTGTGGTCCTGCCATCACCCACCCCTTCATTTAAATGGTGTCATCCCATCAACCCCAGGGGCCTGGACATCCCACGTGAACATGCTCCAGGCCAAACTTGTATTTCCGTTCTTCCCTATCATAGTTATTCCAGTTACAGTTAAAAAAAAAAAAAAACAGAGGCGCCTGGGTGGCTTAGTCAGTTAAGCGTCCGACTTTCTCTTAGGTCATGATCTCGCGGTTCGTGGGTTCGAGCCCCGCGTCGGGCTCTGTCCTGACTGCCAGCTCAGAGCCTGGAGCCTGTTTCAGAGTCTGTGTCTCCCTCTCTCTCTGACCCTCCCATGCTCACGCTGTCTCTCTCTCTCTCTCTCCTAGAAATAAATAAAAAACAAACAAACAAACAAACAAAAAACAAAACCTACTGACTTGTGTTCACATCCCCACATAGATTCTATGCCCCATGAGGTCAGGAGGAAGCTCTTTCCTTCACTGATAGATGCCAGTTGCTAGCACAGAAGGCAGCTGGTCATGATTGTAAGTGAAAGAATGGATGGAATTGGCTTCTTTCTGTCTCCTCCTGACCCTCACCAAGCGGCTGTGCTGGGACATGTGTCTCCAGAACCCCTGATGGCTCTCATCTGCTGTCTCCTGGCTTGCAGTTCTGCCCATCCTTCCCTGGGAGACCCTCTCCACAGCCAGACCCTCCATCTACACCCCACACTTTCCCTCTAGATGGTGCCTGTGGCAAAGAGTCACTGACCCTGCACCCTCTGTGGTAACAGTGTGCCCCCAGTGATGGTGCCTCTCGCTGATGGGCTCTCTCGCTGCCCAGGCTCTGCAGACTGTCTCTCCCTCAGGTAGTAAATGGGAGCTAAGGTCTCTCAGGGCAGCTAACATTTGGTATTTACAGCCAGGAACCAGCATTTAGCACAGCATTTAACACAGCATCTCTCTGCACTCTGGGATAGAATGGATCACACACGCATCCACATGTGTGCACACAGACGAGTGCATATACATACACACAAACACACAGTGCACATACATGTACACGTGAGTGCATGTGCCTATGTATGCACACATGTACACACGTGCACATACATGTGGGGAGCAGACGCTTCCAACCCCCAGTATAATCCTCACCGTAGATGACATCCTCTGGCCAGCCTGCAATGAAACAAAAATGTGAAAAGGTAGTGTTGCACTGACCAAATGGGGCAAAAGCTCATGTTCTGTGAAGCTGAGTCAAACAGGACTTAATGAGCTCTGGCATGGACTTTGTAAAGAAGATCAAGTATCTCTTCTTTTGTGCCCCCCAAAAAAATAACCCAGGTCAATTTATTCCTAGGGAAAGGTTTTGTGGGGTGTAGCCTGATGGCCCAGCTTTCTCACATCTTTTATAAAGAGATATCTCTTCTCTGATCCCCAGGTCGGGGTCTGACGGCTATGGGCAAGGTCACAGGAGGCAGGGAGGGAAGAGGATGGGCAAGTGGAATAATCCATACAGATGAGACCCCCATGCTCACAGCAAGATCCTCTCAGGTGACAGGCATGCTGTTGCTGTATTTGTTGCTTGAGCAATTTCAGGATGCTTCCATCATGCCTGACCAATAGACACTCTCAGGTCCAAGCTCACAGCTGTCTCCACAGCAGAGACCCACCAGCCTTCCCCAAGTCCCCCAGTGAAGAGCTGCTGAGCATCTCTTAGGGATGGAGGATCTCACTGGGCACATGGTAGGCAGGCATTCCCTGACCTGGGGCCTGAGCAGGTCTCTCCCATTCCTCCTGTGCTTCAGTGTGCACCAAGGAGAGTATTCATGCCAGGCTCACAGGAATACTCTAGCTAGCCGTCTGTCCTGCTGGGGGCTGTTTACCTGGGGACAGCTGCTCCTCCTCTTCTTTTCACTGTCTTGCTTCTTCCAGCTGCACTCTATTCCTGTCTCTCTGACATTTCCGCATAAGATAGATGGCTCCAGGAGCTACAAGCCCCACCACAGTGAGGATCACAGGCAGCACTGTCCTCAATGCCATTGACAGGAAACTTTTGGACAAATGATCTAAAAGAGTCCGGGGAGATGAGAAAACAGGGTAATAGAATTCCTGTATTCTTAGGATGCATACACCACAGGGTTCATGGGTCTGGGGACAGGTGCTTGTGAACTAACCTGGCATGACCCAGAAAACATGTGTATATGTGTTTGTACAGACAAATCTGGACAGACACACAGGAGAGAGATGGTAGACAACTGGCAGAAGGTTAAATACTGGGTAGGTCTGCATTCTGTGTACAATTCTTGCAAATTTTCTGGAAGATTGAAGTTGTTTAGAAGGAAATTTTTATACAGAGTGAAACTGGAAGCCCCCGAGATGTCCTTTGGAAGGTGGATGCATAAACAGACTGTGGGGTATCCAGACCACGGAATACTGTTTAGTGTTAGTAGAAGGGAGCTATCCGTACAGCCACTGTGGAGAGCACGTTGGACGCTCCTCAAACACATAAAAATAGAACTACCACCTGATCCATCAATCCCACTTCTGGGTATTTATCCAAAGAAAGTAAAAATATTAACTAAAAAAGCTAATGCACCCCTACATTTATGGCAGTATTATTTTACGATAGCCAAGATATGGAATGAGCCCAAGTGTCCACTGATGGATGAATGGATAAAGAAAAGAGTATATTTAAACAATGGGATGCTATTCAGCTATAAACAAGAAGGGAATCCAGGCATTTGCAACAATATGGATGCACCTTGAGGGCTTTGCTAATTGAAGTTAGTCGGACAGGGACAAATATGCAGGATCTCATGGATAAGTGAAATATAAAATGAAACAAAACACCTCCCCAGACCTCCAGAAAACCAGGAAGCCCAGTTCATAGATGCAGAGAACAGATTGGTGGTTTCCAGAGGTGAGAGGTGGGGGATGTAAAGGGTGAGGAGGGTCAAAAGGCACAAACTTCCAGTTATAAAATAAATAACCCCCAGGGAGGTGTCATACAGCATGGAAACTGTAGTTAACTACTGGGTTGTGTATTTGGAAGCTGGGAGAGAATAGAGCTTACAAGTTCAGATCACAAGGAACTATGTGAGGTATTGGATATTAACAACTTACTGTCTGGGATGCTCAGAGCTCTTGGGGCTTGAATGGAGCAGACCACTCACCGGGAAGTTGGCTCTTGGCCTCCTTCCACTCTTGGAGGAGGGGGCTGGAGATGGAGCAAAAGAGGCCCCCCACGTCCCTGTCCTGGACGGTCACGTTGGACACCACTGCAAAGAGGCCCGTTGTTGGCGACACTGTGAGGTTGGTCATGGAAGATACGGCCTGTCCCCTGAAGTCTCTCCACTCCACCTGGGGCTCTGGGTACCAGCCCTCCGAGGTGCACTCTGCCCTGATACCTTCACCCCGGCCAGCTCGCACTTGGATTCTGGGCTCAGAGCCCAGCCCTGTGAGAAGAAACAGCCTTTCCAGCCTCTGCAACCATTACCACTCCTGACGGAAAAGTACAGATCCAGAGAATTTCCAGCAGGTATTGAGGTTTTTCACGGACTACCTACTCTGTGTAATATTTATATGCTATATATGTTACCCTCTTGCCAGAAAGCACAGGACAATACAGAAGAGGCCCAGAAAGATCAAATACCTTTCCTGTATGGCAAAATCAGTGTCTTTTCCTCTCCATGTCTCTCTGTGTTTCTCTCTGCCTCTGTCTTTCCCTCCCTCCCTCGACTCTCCTCTTTCTGGGTCAGTGGGGATAACAGAGAGAAGCAGGCTTAGAAAACGAGACAGGTGTCCAGAACCTGCCTGTTCTGGTGCATTAGCACATGCTGTGGGACATGCTCAGGCTTGTGCCATCATGGGACGATCTGCAGCTGGGGGAGAAGCTCTAGGGGAGACCAGAAGGTCAGGGGCCCCAGTGGCAACCCTCACCTGCCACCCTCAGCCACAGTGTGGTGTTCTCAGACACCACATCATCTTTGAACTTGCAGTGGAAGGTCCCGTTATCGAACACGGTGATGTTGTGTACGGTCAGTGCGGCTCGGCCGTGGGTCAGCCCGGCAGTCATAAAGGTCGTCCTGCCCTGGTACTGCCTCATCTGCTCTTCAGGCACATCCCTGCCTCCCTTGTGCAGGTGCACAGCTGGGGACTCCTGCTCCCTGTACCACCGCACCTCCATGAGCTCTGCGCTGATATTGAGGGACAGACGGCATTGCAACTCCACACTTTCCCCCACCACAGCCAGGACTGGTTGGCCAGGTCCAAGGACATAGAAATCAGCTTTCCCTTATGAGGGCAGAACAGAAAGCATGGGTTAGGTCAGGTGAGAGGAGACCAGGGGCCGTCCTTCCCACCATGCACAGGGGACACCCACCCACACCCATGTTCCTCACCACAACCCTGCACCAGAGCCCAGGATCCCTAGGGAAAGATTGCTAGCATCCAGCTCAGCCCCCTCCTGCCTTTCTGTCCATGCCATGGTTCCCTCATAAAATGGGGTGGGGGAGGGTGGAGCTCTCCTACCGTTTGCAGAGACGCTGCAGGACAGAAGCTGCAGGAGGAGGAAGACAACGGAGAAGCTGGGTGGAAATATACCTCGACCTTGTGTGTTTGTCATGCCTGCTGGAGACAGAGAGACCTGAGCCCCGGACATTGGAGACAAGACAGGACTGAGTTAGTTTCTGTCTCTTTCTCGGTTTCTGTCTCTGTCTCTCTCTGTATCTGTGTCTCTGTCTCTGTCTGTCTCTGTCTGCCTGCCTGCCTGTCTGTCTGTCTCTGTCTCTCTTGTTCTTTGTCTCCTGTCTTGGTGAGAGACGAGTCACCACTAGGAGGCTAAACGGAGTGAAGGAAACATGGCCAGAGAAAGGTCCCTTTTCACTATCTTGGCCCCTCTTACTCGTGCACAGGTTATTCGTCCTAGAGATGGAGACACAACAGAGGCCGCCTGCTCTCATGTTCACCTACTGGCAGATGACGTTTCTCTTGTGGTCATGTGTGCACAGAACACCATGGACACATCCTCCCGTAAACAGGCTCTGTCTCCTCACCTACTTGTGTAGAAGCATTGCCCGACCTTGGCTGTGCTCTGTTGTGGAACACTGGCAAGCTGGGGGAAGAAAACCCACCCACTGGTCCCGTCACTCCAAAGCCAAAGTACTCCGTCGACCCCCTTACAGCCCAAGGAATCTTGCAGTTGGAGCAAGAGGCACACAAGCTCTGAGGGCTCCTGGGCAGAGATGGTTGGAGGCCAACATGCTCCTAAGCTTTATTATTTATGGTAAACTCAGCTTCCAGAACAAATATTCTGAATCATATGTGCTGGTCTGGGTGATTAAACCCAGCACCACCTTGCGGGATTGATGTGAGGAGGTTAATTGGCACATGCTCTCATTTTCTTCCACACTTGCCTTCCTTTGGTAAAAGCCTCTGGGGCCTCCCTGTCACTCAAGAATAGGGAATGGGTGGAGAACACAGACAGGATGAGTCTCCTTAAAGTAGAAAGTACTCACCTTTCCACGTAGTGTGGCTGTAGGTCTTCCCAGGGAGATTCTGGTGGCCTTGAGGGGATCAACTGACTTCTCCACAAGTTCCAGGAGGCTATAGAACAAGACTTGAGGCAGTGATAGGAGAGGTGGGCAACTGAGTTCCCTAGCTTCTGTAGAATCCTATTACTTTCCATAAAAATGGCCAACTGTGCCTTTTTGGCAGTTCCAAGAGAAAAAATGTATAAACCGAGATCTTCTTAAAGGGTGTGGTCGACATAACTGAACACACTGAGCATTGAGGAGGAGTAAGGCCCTGGTAGCAGGAGATAAGGGGAGAGAGGAAGACCCAGCAAGGCAGCTTGTTTTTTGTTTTTAATGTTTATTTATTTTATTTAAGAGATACAGAGAGAGCTCGAGCAGAGGAGAGGCCAAGAGAGAGGGAGACACAGAATCCCAAGCAGGTTCTTCACTGCCAGCACAAAGCCCAATGCGGGGCTTGAACCCACAGACTGTCAGATCATGACCTGAAATGAAATCAAGAGTCAGATGCTTAACCAACTGAGCCACCCAAGCGCCCCTCATTGGCGGTGTTTGTATGTGTTTCATGTCCAAGGATGGTGATGTTTGCAATCTTCCAAATACCCCGTGTAAAAAATAAGGACTTATTCAAGCTCTGTTGGTCATAGCATACAGGAGAAAATGTGCCTGGTATTGGAATTTTGCATTAATACACCTAACTTCATGAAACAAGAGTCACCATATGAGATGCATTTAATTTATTCTTATTTTTAAATCTATTTTATTTTTGTAAAAAGCTGCTTTTCATTTCCCAAATGTATTTTACTTCTCACTCATTACTGTCATTGCTCTAATAGAAGACATTGCAATACATGTTCTACATCTTTACTGGGGTAGGCATTTTGTCAGAATCCTGCAGGACAAAGGCAAGATCTTTGCTTTCCTGCTCATGAGAAAGATACAAACTTACATGTTTCATTGATGGCCAGTTTGCATTTAGTGACCACTGCGGCCTAATTTAACCTCACTCGATCTGAGGTCTGAGAGGACTCGATAAGCCACAGTCTTATCTCAGTCCCACATGACATCCATTTTGAATTTATTTTTGTGTGTGGTATAAGAAACTGGTCCAGTTTCATTATTCATATTTCTGTCCAGTTTTCCCAGCCCCATTTGTTGAAGACATTGTCTTTTATACATTGGATATTCTTTCCTGCTCTGTTGAAGTTTAGCTGACCATATAGTTGTAGATCCATTTCAGGGTTTTCTATTCTGTTCCACTGACCTATGTGTTTGTTTTTCTGCCAGTACCACCCTGTCTTGATTATTACAGCTTTGTAATATAGCTTGAAATCCGGAGTAAGATGCCTCCAGCTTTGTTTTTCATTTTTAAGATTACTTTGCCTATTCACTGTCTTTTATGGTTCCATAAAAATCTTAGTATTGTTTGTTCTAGTTTTCTGAAGAACGCTGGTGGTATTTCTATAGGAATGGCATTAAATGTGTAGATTGCTTTAAGTAGAAGAAACTTTTTAACAATATTTGTTCTCCCAATCCATGATCATGGGAATGTTTTTCCATTTCTTTGTGTCTTATTCAATTTCTTTCATAAGTTATCTATAGTTTTCATAGTACAGATCTTTTACTTCTTCAGTTAGATTTATTCCTTGATATCTTGTTGTTTTTAGTGAAATTGAAAATGGGATTAATTCCTTGATTTCTCTTTCTGTTGCCTCATTATTGGTGTATAGAAATGCAACCAATTACTGTATGTTGATCTTATACCTGCAACTTTGCTAAATTCGTGTATCAGTTCAAAAAATTTTTTGATAGAGTTTTCCGGGTTTTCCACATAGATATCGTATCGTGTGCAAATAATGAAAGTTTGCTTCTTCTATGCTAATTTTATACCTTATTATTATTTTATACCTTCTCCTTTCTTGTCCTCCTCCTCCTCCTGAAACTAGGACTTCTATTGAACAGCAATGATGAGAATGGACATCCCTGTCTTGTTCCTGGTCATGAAGGAAAAGCTTTGCTCTTCTCCATTGAGGATGACATTAGCTGTGGGTCTTTAATGTTGAGGTATGTTCCCTCCATCCCTACTTTGTTGAGGGCTTTTATCAAGAATGGATGCTGTACTTTGCCAAATGATTTTTCTGCATCTACTGAGAGGACCATATGGCTTTTATTGTTTTTTTTTTAATGTCATGTTTCACATGGATTGACTTCTAAATATTGAATCACCTCTGCAGACCAGGAATAAATCTCACTTTATTGTAGTGAATAATTCTTTAATGTACTGTTGGATTCGATCTGCTAGTATCTTGTTGAGATGTTTTGTATCCAGGCTCATCAGGAATTTTAGTGGGGTCTTTGATTTTGGGATCAAGGTAATACTGGCCTCATAGAATTAATTTGGAAGTTTTCCTTCCATTTCTATTTTTTTGGAACCATTTGAGAAAGATAGGTATTAACTCATCTCTACATGTCTGGTATAATTCCAGTAGGAAGCCATCTGGCCCTGGATTTTTGTGTCTTAGGCGATTTTTTACTACTGATTCAATTTCTTTGAGGGTTATGGGTCTGTCCAAAGTTTCTATTTCTTCCTGTTTCAGCTTTGGTAATTTGGATGTTTCTAGAAATCTGTCCATTTCTGTCAGTTTGCCCATTTTGTTGCCATATGTTTTTTTCATAATATTGTCTTGTGATTATTTGTATTACTGTGGAGTTAGCTGTGATCTTTCCTCTTCATTTGTGATTTTATTAATTTTGGTTCTTTCTGTTTTCTTTTTGATTATTCTAGATGTTTATCAATTTTAGTAATTCTTTTGAAGAACCAGCTATTAGTTTCATTAATCTCTTCTACTGTTTTTGTTTGTTTGTTTGTTTTCTTCCTATATTGCTTATTTCTGCTCTATATGTTTTTCTTTCTTCTGCTGACTTTAGACTTTATTTGCTGCTCCTTTTCTAGATCCTTTAGGTGTTAGGTTATGTTGTGTATTTGAGATTTTTCTTGCTTCTTGATGAATGCAAGTTTTACCATATACTTCCTTCTATGACTGCCTTTACTGCATCACAAGGTTTTCGAATGTCATGCTTTCATTTTCATTAGTTTCCATGTGTTTTTTAATTTCTTCCTTTATTTCCTGGTTAACCCATTCATTCCTTAGTAAGATGTTCTTTAACCTCCATGTATTTGTGGTCTTTCCAATTTAAAAAATTATTTAAATTCAAGTTAGTTAACAGTATAGTCTTGGCTTCAGGAGTAGAACTCAGTGATTCATCTTTTACATATAACACCGTCAAAAGTACTCATCCTCAAAAGTGACTCTTTAATGCGCATCACCCATTTAACCCATCTCCCCACCCACATCCCCTCCAATGGCCCTCAGTTTATTCTCTGTTATCATTTATTTTTTAAATTTATTTCTTTATTTTGAGAGAGAGAGAGCATACACGCATGCAGGGGAGGGAAAGAGAGAGAGAGAGAATTCAAAGCAAGCCTCGCACCATCAGTGCAGAGCTTGACATTGGGCTTGAACTCACAAACCATGAGATCATGACCTGAGCTGAAATCAAGAATTGGATGCCAACAAGTGAGCCACCCATGCACCCCTATTCTCTGTATCTAAAAGTCTTTTATGGAGAGAGAAAAACCACGAAAGGCTCTTGAATGCTGAGAACAAACTGAGGACTGAGGGAGGGTGGGGGAGAGGTGCCTGATGGGCATGGAGGAGGGTACTTGTTGGGATGAGCACTGAGTGTTATATGTAAACCAACTTGATACCATGAGAGACTCTTGAATGTTGAGAACAAACTGAGGACTGATGGGGGTGGGGGGAGGAGAAGGGGGTCATGGGCATGGAGGAGGGCACTTGTGGGGATGAGCACTGGGTGTTATATGGAACCCAACTTGACAATAAACTATTTGTAAAAAATAAATAAAATAAAAATAAAAACATTTTTCTTTCTTTCCTAAACAAATAAATAAAAAGAAAATACAAAACAAAACGAAAGTCTCTTATGATTTGCTTCCCTCTCTGTTTTGGTCATATTTTTCCTTGACTTCATCTATGTTCATTTCTTGTGTTTCTCAAATTCCAAATATGAGTGAAATCATATGATATCTATCTTTCTCTGACTTACTTCACTTAGCAAATATACTCTAGTTCCATCCATGTTATTACAAATGGCAAGATTTTTTTTCATCACCAACTAGTATTCCATTGTGTATATATACCACATCTTCTTTTTTTTAATAGTTTATTGTCAAGTTGGTTTCCATATAACACCCAGTGCTCATCCTCACAAGTGCCCTCCTCCATGCCCATCACCCCCCTTCCCCTCTCCCCAATACCCATCAGTCCTCAGTTTGTTCTCAACATTCAAAAGTCTCTAATGTTTTGCCTCCCTCCCTCTCCCCCGCTATTTACACCCTTCTTCTCCCCCACGGTCCACCTTTAAGTTCCTCCTAATCCTCCTATATGTATACCACATCTTCTTTATCCATTATTCAGTCGATTAACATATGGGCTCTTTCTACAGTTTGGCTGTTGTAGATAGCGCTGTTATAAACATTGGGTTACTACCCCTTTGAATCAGCATTTTTGTATCCTTTGGATAAGTTCCTAGTAGAGCAATTGCTGGGTCACAGGGTAGTTCTATCTTTAACTTTTTTGAGGAACCTCCATACTGTTTTCCAGAGTGGCTGCTATAGTTTGCATTCCCAACAACAGAACAGAAGTGTTCCCCTTTCTCCACATCCTCCCAAACATCTGTTGCTTCCTGAGTGTTCATTTTAACCATTCTGACAAGTGTGAGGTGATATCTCATTGTGGTTTTGATTTGTATTTCCCTGATGATGAGTAATGTTGAGCATCTTTTCATGAATCTATTAGCCATCTGAATGTCTTTGGAAAGGTGTCTATTCATGTCTTCTGCCCGAATAGTGAGTTGATTTTTTGGTTTTTGGGTGCTGAGTTTGGTAAGTTCTTTATAGATTTTGGATACTAACCCTTTATCTGATATGTCATTTACAAATACCTTAT